CTTTATGACTGCGAAATGTTGAGTTTTCACAAGAGTTCGAAAGTTGGTATAAATAGTAAGAAAGTCGGATCTATGTTTCATAAGATAAACTCAAGTATGACGAGTGTAATCATCAATAAACGAAACATAATATTTGGAACCCCTTTAGTAGGTATAGAAGATCGTCCCACACATCAGAATAGACTAAATCAAATGGAGGAAAAGGAACGGAAGTACTTAAAAGATAAGGCTGAGATCCAAATTTTGACATCCAAATTTTATTTTTTCCTCATAATTACTTTGTTGTTTAAATTTTGTTTTGAATAATTCAAAATATGTTGGTGGTGTCTTTTCAAACTTTAACACCAAAAATATAACCTGAATTATATTATTATATCAAAATATAATGATTCTAGTTAAAAAACTTGATAAAGATGCCTTTCTTTATTGACATTGGCTTCATTATAAAATTTATAACCACTACAATTAGACCAATTATTTTCTTAAGAAAACAAATATATAAAACTTTAGTAAATAATCGATAAAATATGATATAAAAATAAAAACAAAATATTGTTAATGTAAACCTAATATTTTTTTTAATACAACATATGGGGTGGGGAATCAAACTCACAACCTCATGGTTGGAGTTATATGCCAATTACCATTTAGGCTCGCTTTGATAATGTAAACCTAATATTAATATGTTTAAAATGAGTAAAATGCTTACGTGTTAATTTAAATAATTTTTAAGAATTATTTTATATTTTTTAATTTTTTAAAAAACATCTATCAATATTGACAAATTATTTCTTATAGAGAAGGGAAAAAAAGATATTATTGACAGTTCCATCAAGATCAAGACATGAAACTTTAAAAGAGGTTATTCCAAAAATTTAACTCCAAGTTTGATTTAAAAAATCTATATATTTTTCTTGAATTATTTCCAATATCAAGGTTAAATTATTAATTATTATACTTTCTTATTATTACCGTGGAAATAATATTGTGTAAGGCAATTTAATCTAATTTTTTAGGACACTTGCTCTAAATTTAAACTCATAATATTTTGGTCGATGTTTTAATAAGAAGTTGATGTTTTAATAAATTGATCTATGTGCAAGTTGGTCGGTCTAATCTGATTTTTAAATGCATAAATCAATATTATTTTACTAATTAAAAGAATCAAATTTTCAAAGTGTTTAGGTCGGTTCTACAGAGTGTTTAGGTTCATTGGGATAGTGTGTTTATCCTTCCGGCTCGGGTTATTCATCATGTTGAGTAGATTCTGCGTTCTTTCTTGTGGAAGGGGTGTGAGAGCAAGCTGTCGGGGGCTAAGGTGGCTTAGTCTGAAGTGGGTATTTCTTTGCAGGATGGTAGTTTGGGTGTTCGTCACTTGRCCTCTTGGAATTCCGCCGCTATAATGAAGCTGCTCTGACTTCTTATTATGGGAGTGGGTTCTCTTTGGGTGGCTTGGGTGGATGCTTATATACTTTTGGGAGATTGTATTTGGACCGTTCGTGCTTCGCTCTGGTTCTCCTGGTGTTGGGGGGA